TGGTACGATACCAAGGACAAGGCCAGCAGACACATACGCTGCTGCGAGAGCCAGCCCCGTGCCCAAAGGAGAGAACGAAGCGTTGTCAAAGAAAATCCTCAACTCTGAGCCACACTACAGCGGTGCAGCACGGACAATGATAGCCAGTGTCATACAAGTGCTCCGATCGAACTAGAAGAAAGAACGCCAACAGGCCGGTTCCTGGGCAATCGGCCAACTAGTTCGTAGGATAACTCCTCAACCGACGGCCCACATCAGGTCAACCACCCCCCAATAAGGGGACGTGGTGAGACTGACCACCAATTGCATGCACAGTAATGTGAGAGGGCTAAGAGGCAAAATAGCTGAACCTAGACACCTACAATCACAGCTGAATTGCAGAATCATAATACTGAGGGAAACCTGGCTAACCCCTATGGTAGCAGACAGCGAAGTCAGTATAAGTGATATGGTCCTAGTTAGGCGAGATAGGGACCTGAAAGAAGGAGGTGAAGTCACCGTATACGTCGACAAACAGCTCGGATGTGTTCACGCAGCGGACCCTCCCCTCACTGAGCTCCCTGACTCCATATGGTGCCATTCCACCGTTGAGTACTGTAAATATCTGGTGGGCAGCATTTATAGATCACCTTCATGTGGAGCAGACCACAACCAGGTACTGCTAAATACAATTTCAGCGACACGAGACATGGGTTATCATCAAACTGTCATAGCTGGTGACTTCAATGCCCCATCTCTTAACTTGATGACGGGATAGGCCTGTGATAGATTTGATCGAAATCTGCTGCATACCATCAGGAAGGCTGGATTCACTAAAAACGTCAGAATGGATACTAGATGGGGCCCAGATGGGAAGTCTTCTAGCCTGGATTATGTGCTCACGAGTGACCAGCTACTAGCGGAAAACGTTCAGATCACAGTTTCCATAGGTAGTAGTGACCACGCGGTCATAGCATTCGACATAATCCTCCGCGATCGCTTATAGTGGGACAATACTTGGGTCTTTTCGTTAATGCGAAGTCAATATCTCTGTTTCTTGATGTGTTCCATTGAATCACTAGTTATCAGATTTTTCCCACAAACTAAAGATAAAACGACAGCAACCATGTTATTTAACCATAAATCATGTAATTTAAATATGTAACTTAAATAATACTTATCCATGCCTATACAACTTGTGTTTCTTACATTTCTAGGAATAAATATCTACCTTATTGTGTTATCATTACTAACTATACTCACTAATCGTATGTGTAATTTATCGAATTGATGATGCCCGTAATCTAGCGTCCCTCATGTACAAAAATGAGAATATACTATTTTTATACACAGTCCTATCTGTGTTATAACAAAGCCAATCACACCGAAATGCGAAGACTTTTGTCTGAAGCAAATTGGCCAAAAAATTGGACAGAGCTAACAGTAGAAGAACACTGGGGAGTGGTAAAGGAGATCATTCACCAGGCGGTCTCAGATACTGTTCCTTTAGTCACACCAAAATCTAGAAAGCAACGTTCATGGCTAAAATGGGGGACACAACGCCTTCTACAGGCGAAGCGAAAAGCCTGGTTTGCGTGGCGAGTATCGAAGAGTCAACCCGAACATGAAGTGTACCTCGAACTCAGGAATCGATGTAACATACGAGTCCGGAGTGATAGAAAGACATTTCAGAGAAACCTCGCCAATAAGCTTCTCGTGAACCCCAAAAGCCTATACAGGTTTATTTATGTCTGAAAGAAAACCGACCAATCAGGGGGCTTGCAATCTAGTGGGCTCTGATGGGAAATCTCTTACTAGTCTTGAAATGGCAGAGACATTCAGTCTAGCCTTTCACAGGCAACTGAACAGTAACGAGGATTTTACCCCCACAAAACATCAAGATTACAATGCAAGACCAACGTGCGAAAACCTGCTGGGTACATTTCAAATTACTCCGGCTATGGTACTCGTAAAATTGGGAAAGTTGGCTTCGGGAAAGTCTGCAGGTTGCGATGCCATAAGACCATCCGTCCTGAAGCAGTGTTCAGAAAGTCTCTGCCAACCTCTAAGTGATCTGTTTCAACACTCCTTTGATGTAGGGAAACTTCCATGTGAATGGAAACGAGCCATCCTATCCCCTATCTTCAAGGGTGGTGACCGGCAGAACGCCACCAGTTACAGACCAGTTGCGCTACTCCCAGTGATATCGAAGATATTGGAAAGTCCCATTGACGACCACATGAGAAAATACTTCGACGGGACTAACCTACTCCATGAAGCACAGCACGGTTTCAGGAGGGGAAGATCCTGTGTGACGAATCTACGAAATAAGCAAGGCGGGTGCTTCTGGAGCACTTCTCGCATGGCTGAAAGATTATTTAGGCGAGAGAGAATTCTGCACCAAAGTCAACCGCATCCGATCATCCTGGCACACCTCGGCATCAGGGGTTCCTCAGGGTTCTATCTTAGGGCCGTTGATGTTTTTGACTTTTATCAACGACCTGCCCTGTCAACTGAACTGCTCTGAGCTTCTCTACGCTGATGACGTAAAGATTTGGAGAGCAATAAACTCATCGGAAGACTCCGACAGATTGCAGGCTGACCTGCAAACTCTGGGAGACTGGGCTCTGGCTAACGGAATGTCTTTCAACTTAAAGAAGTGCAAAGTAGTGCAACTTCATTCCGGCAGGTCACTGGTTTATGCTAGCTCGTAATCGGGATATTGGATTGGATATTTGGCTAGTAAGTTAGTAGCGCGTGGGTTAAGGTTAGCGTTACGTCTGTAATTTGTAATTTATTCATTAATTTATCCTTTGGCATAACTTTCCCTTCGATTCCTAAAGAATGTTCATACCAGGTGACGGTAGTGTTAAAGTATACCGTCACGGGAGTAAGAACGAGTGTTAATAATTATTGATAAAGTATTTCGTCCAGTATATGTTTTCTGGTTCTTATTCATAGTTTATTACGGTATACTTGATCCTTTATTTTTTGTATTGCTCATTACAGAAAGAATTAAGTTACAAATTTCAACCGGATCTAGCTTTTAAGTACTTTCCGGATAGCAAGTAGTCGTAAATTCTCCCATTGTGATTAAATGCATATACATGTACATACACCATTATTCACAAGCACCCAGTGGACATGCACTAAGATGCACAGATTGTAAGGTAAACTATTCCGAATTCGAAACTGTCGCTAACTAATATACTTGAGTTCTGAAGATTGAGATGAAATTCACGTCTGCACAGTTAGAGAATTCATTGTTATCCACTGAGAAGTAGTAAATGCATTGCGGAGGTGTATTGTCGTGAATGACGAATACTGTGACTGAGCCTTCAGAATGAGAAGGGGTCGTTTTTCATATTTAAATGGGAGCGTTTTCATCAAGAAGAAATAAAACTGTAGTCGACCTAGAGCGAATTACATTAGGGGGTCCTCGACACTAAAATTCGCAGAGGGGTTGTGGAAGTGACCCCCAAAAGTAGTGCGATAACCACTTTGCTTAATTATTATCCAAGGATTGGTAATTCCCAACAGGAACGTATGGGATGGATATTATAGGTTATCGGATTTGGGTTTCATTCATCAATCAACATTAGTTATGCCTTGTAGTAGAGGGTGGACGAAATCTGCTGAATGAATGACTCTATGACGATATGCATATAACTACCACAGGAGCATTTACGACTGCGTGCTTTCAACTCATTATTCCAATAGTATTTAAAAACTAGATCTGGATGAAATTTGTACCTGAGTTCATGCATGGCTTTCATGGTAGTGCGTATATTATAGTTTTAGTAATAGACAAGCATTTCTAACTCGCAACGAAATACTGAATTTCGCACTATGTTGGATATTCTTATAAACCTCAAGTAGATAGTGATGAAGGGGATTTAGGAATTATCTGTTATCCATCACATTTATGTGCACACATGTCAGACCAAAAGTATGCAACTGTACATCATTTTCAAATGCACAAGTTTGATATAATTAGGGCTGTCTTTCTATCTATTTTCCATTTATCCCACTAAAGGTGAGGAATCTCTTAATGTTGAAGCTCTTATGACATTCTTAAATTTGCCTTTGCTGCGCTTCTGAAGGGTTTAATTTCTTAGAGAATTTTCTTCCGTCACCACTGTAATTCTGTAAATTGTGATGAATCTTTCCAGCAGTGAACGCCTTTCTTTTAACAAATAGATGGGTTTGGGCTTTCTTCTTCTATGAATGGATATTTTATTTAGTTATTTTAACTGAATTTGTTTAGTGGCATAGGGGGTTTCATAAAATTTTTCTAAGTTGTCTTCATTTGAGACATAGAGTAAGTTTCTTGGGATTACTGAGTATTGGAGTGATGCAGTAGAAGTTATTAAACTTCCCGAATTTCTGTAAACAGAGTTAGCCTATCAACGATTATGGGTCGGTGGCAAAAGTCTACCACTTTCAATGACTGGTAGATAATTGTCTTAAGAAAATCTAGTCTATTCACCTGTTCAATTTGTTTAATACCAGAAGACAACGGAGCAGATTTGGTCACGTCCTCTGATGCGTTTAATTCTTTTTTTGGCCTGTCTTAAGGCGTCTACAGAAGCACTTGTCAGGCAATCGCTTACAGTGTTTTGTTTCGTTCTATCTTTGTAGTCAGTTCCTAATTTGTGTTAGCTCTGCTTAGTCTTCAACAAGTTGTTGGTCATTTTTAAAATTTCTTTGCATATTTATCACTAAGTCCCTAAATCAGGTGAATCATCTGCTTATATATTTTGAGATGCAATTCAAAAGTTACCCGGTAAGCTTTGTCTTCACTTATCTTCGATGTCGAATTACTTCTGTACATATATTGCTCAAAATTCATTTCTTTTTTTTTTTTTATTTATTTCAGGAACCAATTATCGACAGGTGCATTTGACATCCGTTGTATGTTGTAATAAAATAGATAGTTTATTTCTGTGTATATTGTTTGACGGTACTTCTACATAAATCAATACTCCTAAAGTTCTCTGGATTCGTTTATTATCCAAAATATGACTGTTCCGTCATCAAATGATGACAGTTTACAACTACAGTTCACTTTTGAAGAAGGTATGCTGCTAGCTGATTTTATTATTGTGAAATTGAGGTTCATACCAACTTTTGATATTCTTTTAAGTATCATTGAGATGTTATGACTCATTGGTTCATACTCTGAACTTGCGTTCTTAAATTGTAGGATCCTGTCAGTTATTTAATTTTACGAGCTCACAACATTTGTACCATATATTTTAAACTGTATTTCTTGTTATTTCTTTGTGAATTATAGCTACTTGGTGGAATCTGTATCGTTCCTTCTTGAGCTTGTCAAAAACTATTAGTATTAGTCATAAGTAAACATTCCATCTTCTCGGCCATTCATGTGTGATTACGCTCGTCCCACCCTGTCATCAGCTAGATTTACCTGCATTCTAGTGAACGATTGTGTCCATTCTGGTACTCGAATTCACGGCGTGTTTCAAGCCCCAGTGTTCTCCAATAAACTAACAGGTTTAAACGTATGAAGGGAAATGTACGGTAGACAGAATAAGTAAATTGGGGATAATGAAAAAAAAAGAGAGTGAGTGAATCCTCACCAATGAGAATAACTTTAAATCGTGTCTGGCAGTCTGCTGCTTCCTAAATGGCTGGTTGGATCCAACTGTCTAATACTTGATGGGCTCATACCATGTTTTGATTTGACCCCCCCCCCTCACGCTTTTCCAACCCAATCCAATGTCGATTCACAACGATGACTTGGTATGCCTAACACATCTCCTAGCCATCTCAGTTTATGAAGCTTCACGATCTCATCGACTGATTATCTTGTTTACGTAACCTACCCTTAATATTACTCACCATATTATACCGTCTAATGCGGGAGATGGGACTTTAAACACATGTTCAAAGACACCTTGCTTCTTCAAATCTTCCACTTTCAATGACCATACCTTAAAGAAATAAAGGAGGAGAGGGTGAACTGCTGCAGAGTACACACGCGCTATGATGTATAAGCGTACATAATGTCTACACTAGAGGCGTGGTGAGTCGACAAACGTCTCACGAGCGCGTTGTATCCGTTTTGAGACTTCGTCAGCTACTAAACTTCGAGAATTACCTCTTGAGAAAGCAGAATAATGGTAATCACTGTAGAGTACAAGGTTGGTTTTGTCATTTCGTATAGTCTTAATCGTCCACATATTCCCTAAATTCAGATGAATTTTTCAGTTGCAATTCAGTTATATTCATAGTAAGTAATGGCAATTATTCAAAATTGCTTCGATTAGTTTAGGCCATGTTATCATTTCATGAAGTAACAAATGATTTTAACCTAAAATTACTTTTCCAGAAGAGCAAAAGGAGAAAACGTAACTCAGTGTACTCAGTTAATAATTAGTCTATTGTTAGGGAGTTAATATTACTATGTAAACATCTAATGCTCAGTAAGTGGCTGAAGGGATTTGGAAATCTCCAACTTACTTAATTGAAAGGTGAATACTAAGAGCCACTAATCATAAACAGGAAGACTGAGCTTAATTAGGTGAAGTAAAGATGGTTAAAAAAATAAAATTTTTTATATTAAATGTGAAAAGCAACCAAACAGAATAAGTCCGTGTACTGATAACTAGTGTGTAATCTTCTTTCATGCACTGCTGTCTTACATCATAACATTGTTTCCTTCTTAGACCTTCCTTGGCTACATATCTGCTTTCGACTCTCTACTCAGATACCTTTTGTTAAATAAGCTTTCCCTAACAAAAACCCAGTCATGGGCTGTTAACTGGTTGCATTATTATTTCTCGAACAGAATGCAGTATACTGTATATAAAGACAGATCTTCCTCTGCCTTGCTTACTGAAGTTGAAGTCCCTCAAGGTGCTGCTCCCTCTCCTTTTCTTTCTTTCCTCGGAAGAAAGCTTCGTTAAATACTCTGATGATTTGCTTGTCTTCTCGCCATTTGCTTCCCGATATAACTGTTCGAAACTTAGTGCCTTTTTTCAGGTGTCAGCTGATGGTCTAAGCTAAATGGTCCTGCATTAAATCCCTCTAAATGTCAGACGGTTCACTTCACCTTCAGGCATAAACGTGATCTACAAGAAATGGTTCATTTATGTGATGCTTCTAGCATGGAGGGCACAGAAATAGAAAATAAGTCAGGCATTAAATACCTTGGAATAAGTCTATCCTCTGACCTTTCTTCGTCATCCTGTATCTTGTTGATTTTTAAGAAAATGTTTCGTCTAACCTACTAAATTAAGAAGTTAAGGCAACCACTGAAACTCTACTTTTTCAATTTGTTAACTACTGCATCCCACCTATTCTACTTTACTGCTCCCCTTTAGTCTTTCCACTCAAAAAGGACTATATCATATTGCGCAAGGTATTAAAGGTTGTCAGTAAAACAAGTAGTGTACAACTAAGTCTGACTCGCAACACCCTCTCTATTCCCAATTCTCCCCTCAAATATCATCAGGTAGGACTAAGAGTCATTGTAAAGGATTATATGCTCGTACAACGAAGTATAAAAATTCAAGGATACCCTCTTTGGCCCGCGTTCTGTGTGGTAGAGATACTGTTATGCGTGAAACCCATAACTTACTATGTAATTAGCAAGACAGTTGGCTCCTTTACCTTTTCCTATTCGTAATTCATGATGAACACTATTTGAGTTATTTTATTATTTTTAGTTATTAACATTATTATTACCATAATTATTTTACGCTGTGTGTACATTTTCGACTTTATTGTTACCGGTTATTCATACCCTGTAATGTGTATAGATTTTTTGTTTTTGCTGTTATTGGCTGAATTACATGCAGTAATGTACGAAATACTGAGAATTCTACACTGTATCATAAGTAATGTCTTGGAGAAAAGCAACTATTATTGTTATAGACAAAGTGGTGGATCACTGCTGTTTATTATTATTATTATTGTTCCCTGGGTTTCTGAATAGAACATAGGGCTTCACCACAACATCTCCGCCTTGTTCTGTTTTCTGCTCTTCTCTTCAGCTGGGCCCACGCTGCTGTTTAAGTGAATTACAAGTTGTTTGCTTCCGTTTTATCAGCATCTTATAAAGATTTAAATTGTTTAGGGACATACTCCCCTAAAATGTTATTATTTATCCTTGGGCCGTTGTTTAGCGAATTTGCCAGTCTGTTTCAAAATTTTATTATAGCTAACACTAAGCACCATTTTAATGTGTGCTCTGGTGTAGTTCAGCGTTGTTACATCACATTTGGTTACCCAGCATAGTAACATGATAAGTCGGCCAGTGAGTGAGTTTGATGATTTCCATGGTTTTTTATCCTTCCTCTTCAATTCTATATTTTAACATAAGCCAATATATTAAAAAAATATCTGCATAACATTTTGACGGTAATGCCTTGTAAAGATTTTGCACATTGGTGGTTACGTCATGATGTTTTCGCGTTCATTCTTTTTCTGCTGGAAAAGTTCATATAACCCAAATTAAATTAATATTAAACAGGTGATTGTGAAATCTTATATTTTTTGTTATTAAATTTCAAACTTGGTACATTATAGGAAACAGCAGTTATGCCACACAAAATCTCATAGTTTGTGCGAGGACTGGGATACTGACAAGACGCCCAAACTGAAGCAGGTGGTTGTCTTACGTGACCACTCCCCGAGCCTCTGACTTGAGTGTCTGCTTCACAAGGCAATAGAACTGCATCAGGAGCTAATTTCCCATAGTTATGGGTGACCGAGACAGGTCTAAACGCCATTCGGTTATTTTGGGCTCTGGAGCCCACGGGCACCTTAGGTTTGGAATCACGGTTTTACAGCTCAAACAGGTAGACCTGCATGTCCGCCAGTCCTGTTATATAAGCTTCAGACGTCCGCATTCTCCGTTTCGACGTGTGAGGAACACCCCTGTTGCCTAAAGGCAGTGAATAGGATCTACCTAGCAGGGGCTATGAATACGCGGCCGCTTGAGAGCATTTCAAGAGGAAAATTGAAGTCTACCCACTCTAGGCTGTACCAGGTGATTTATGGGTGCGTGTGCAAATTTTATATTTCTTCGGATCAGTATGAAAGGTTTTAGTTATACTGAATATATTAATTTTATTTTATACTATCCAACTATTCAGTTTCATATGTATTTCTTTCAGTTTTCAGCGAATATTTTCCGCTAAAGCTTAGCTTTAAAATGTGTAATAGAGAGCTTCACAAGAACCTTTAAGATTATATATTAAGATTATATATTGTGCTTATCCTATGCTGAAATCAAGCTGTAAGCGAAAATAAAAAAAAAATATAAAGGAAAATTAGCTTGAGTTTGAGCATACTATCGAATAGTTGAAAGTATAAATTGTTTGAACCGGTGAAATACACAGCATTTGCTGTTCAACAGCCATGAAGATTTTAACGTGCACTGGCATGTGTCAGTCAAATATACAAAGATAGTAAAAAATACTCTCTGGTTATCCAAAATGAAGTCGACATATCAAGGTTTTGTGACTACGATAAAGTTGTGTGTGTGTGTGTGTGTATGTTCTACTCAGCAACTAAGTGCACATTTTATATACATCGAAACCAAGTTCACTTTTAACAGTTTTAAAAATTTGGGCACTGGGTATATGACATTCATTATTATAAAAGTTCTTACATTTCCCACTATAAAATAACCGTGTCTTCGTAAATGACCAAATTGCAAAGGATTCTGAAACTAATTGTATCTATGGAATAAAATGCTTGTAATGTGATGTGACATACATTGGACAAACGTCACGAGAAATCAAGATCAGAAGGAATGAACACCATAGAGCATCTGTTCGACCAGCAAGAAATCCAGTTGAACTAGAAAAGCTTGAAATATCATCAGCTATAGAATCAGGCTACAAAATTGATTTTAACAATGTTGAAATAATCCTGAAATATTTCAGAAATCACAAAAAGAACGCCTCATATTATCAGTAGCACTTCATATCAAATGGAATTCAAATTGTTTGAGTAGGAATAATGGACTAGGACAGAATTCAATCTAGTTGCACCCCTTGTCCCATGAAATGACAAAATCAAAACAAATATGATAAGGAATTTCATTATGTAAGCACATGCTGTTTTTATAATTTCATATGCTTATCAAATCCAACAATGTACACATGGTTTTGTTATTTTTACTAAATTGGCCAGCTTGACAACGTAAAAATTACCCTATACTGATAAACGATGATTAAGTTGTTATATATAAGGTGAGATTTTGTAAATTCTGGTTTAATACTATTTTGATAAAGCTATTTAGGAGTATTGAATAGCGACACCTCAGTAAAAACAACTATATCGTTTTGTTTTTCATTTGTAGTAATGAGCGCACATTTGTTCACTCTGTAATCCATGACCCAGTAGATTTCAGTACAAATGAATCACCACACGACTGTATCTTGACTGCCGTTTCACAGCCAGTTGTCAGTAATAGCATTTATATATTATTATTGTTATTACATATTATACCTAAGTATATCCCTTTTCTCTTGTACACTCTATTCATAGAATATAACGAACTCAATGCTCAACTGGACGCTTTATCAACATGTTTAGATATACTAGAGGCGAAAAGTAAAAAACTCTGCGATGAAGCTAAACACTTGGTACTTGAATACAAAGAGCAAAGAAATGAAACTTCATTGGCATCTTAGCCTAGTTAATCGAAATGAGATAATATTGGAAACAACTCATTGTTTTTATTTTTATTTTCTTTTAAATTTTGCTTGAATTATTCATTTCCATTCCATATGTTTATTTATTATTTTTATTTTATTTCTTCTTCACTATACATCTTATGATTTTTCAATTTGTGATCAGTTAAATTATGTGATGAGCACATTTTATATGTAATGTATCCCATAACATTCCTAAGAAAAGTAATAATACTGATTGGTCATTAGTAGGCTGATTTGTTTGTTTGAATAAAAAATTTTCAGCTGTTTAATAAATTATGATTTTGTGTATACAAGTAAAACGAAGTCATTTCTGCATGTCAAGAGAGAATCACACCTTGTAGCTGTCCGTGAAGCTAGTTGAAATTAATATCAGAGAACTGAGTGCTTTGGAGGTGTGCCACTGAACCCGTATGTTCCTCTCGGAACTCAAGCAACGAATCACAATAAAAATAATAGAACTAAGTGAGCCAGCCGTTTTTATCCGTATGCAATCATCCAACTGTGTAAGCTAAACTAATAACTGGAGGTTGATGACAGTAATTCACGAAACATAAACTCTTTTTAGTATTTAAACCATTTGAAATTAGTCAGTGTGAATAGATGCACTTGTGCAATTGCATCACCTGATTTAATTATATACTGTTTTTGGTTCTGTTTAAGGCCCGAATGGATGTTCTGTTTTTATACAAGTTAATATGAAATTATCCAGTCAATGAGTATATTAGTATTATTTTGTTCTCTAGTGGGGTATGATGCATATAGTTTCCTAATATAAATAGGATGGTAGGGAATTCAACAGCTTAGGATAAGAAATGAATATAGAGTGAATTGAACTGTTTCGTGGCACTTCGAGTTTTCTTGAATAAAATGTAGTTAGATGCAAAGTGAACTATGGTCGCTTTCTTTTTGAGAATTTCAGACTAACTTTTTTTTTCCTTCACGTTCGCCAGTGGAACATAGGGCTTCAAGCCAGTGGCTTGAAGTTTCTGTAGCAGTGTTTATTTTACAGGATGGGGTTGCTAGCCTCATGCCCAACCTTTCCTCTTTACCACCATTATTTCTTTCTCAGCGAGGTAAGGGAGTGCGTCAGCCGGGGATCGAACCCCGGACCATGTGCATGGTCGGCGAGCGTCCTAACCGCCATACCACCTACGCACTCAGACTAACTTAAGGCATAAATAATAATAGTCTAGAGAATTACAAAGTGGCGCATTAAGTTTCATAATTAATGTCCAGCTAGGTAAACTCGTCGTTGTTTTCCCCTTTCTGTCGGTCATGTCCCGACCGACTGCTGCTACCTTGACATGGTGTTCGGCCTTGAATATCGCAACGACCTAACAAGCTACACTGGCTGGGACTATTGTTCCTGTAGGTCCTACCATGCCAGGGAGGTTGTTAGGATAGCGATTAGACTAAAAGCAGTTACCGGCATAGTGGAAGAATTTTTTTTACACTATGCTGGGAGTCTGTGGGTGAAGTTGTACTGCTGGGGAATAGGGATTTAACAGCAGTAAGGTATTTCTATCAGATGACCAGCATGGAGGGGGGAGGGGGTTAGAAAAGGTCGACCCCGAAAGTTGTATATCTCGACTTACCCCACGGTGGTCCGTAACCGGGGGAAAATTTACTAATGCGGAACCTATCCAAGAAATCAGTTCATACATGCCGTGTATGACCGGCCTCAAGCAGTTGTCCCCTGGGCTCTGCGGTCACGCAACACTAACCCTCGTCCTGTTTCAGGTACCCGAAGAATCAATCAACTTCCACGGTGTGGGCAGCCGGGAAGTGACAACCGCCCACACACTTCCAAAAGCAAACGAAGCCTTACTGAGCATCATTCTTATTTACCCACATCATCATCATCTTACTTTCCTACCACAGTCAGTACTATTCTTCAGGCTAGTGAGTCATTTTCACTTCACTCTGTGACCAGAAACAGCGATGAGAGCCATGGAAACACCTCGACAGCCTCTTAAAACCATATTGCCAAATTCATATAGGAGCATTCGACGTCAGGACTCTCTGCCATACTCAACAGGCATCACTGACAAGAACTCTGACATCTCGAGCCACGGATGTATGTTGTATCTCGGAGATACGCATACAAGATCTGAGTGTAGTCATTCATTTAGCCTCACCCCGCCAACAAGGTGAATCTGCAAAATTCACTTTAAGAGTGTCAGGAGATCCCTCAGCTAGTTCGCTAGGACTCGCAGGTGTAGGGATAGCATTGAGTATTAGGGCAGAAAAATCAGTTTTTGACTGGATCCCAGTAGATAGTTGTATGTGTGCGGTCCGTCTGAACGGGTCCGTCAGAAGAAGGAAGGACGGTGTTACCCGTCATTGTCTTTTCGTAGTCTCCGCGTACGCCCCAACAGACTGTAGTTCGGATGAACTAAAGGATGACTTCTACATGAAACTGTCTAATTTGCTGCAAAAAACAAAACGTTCAGATATATTTGTTTCAGCAATCAACTTCATTGCCCGAGTAGGGAAGTTGTGCCAGACTGAGAAGTATGTAGGTGGTATGAGTTCCCCTGTCAACGAACCGGCAATGGTGACCGTCTTGTACAGTTCTGTTCAAATAATCATCTATTCATAGTCAGCACTAACTTTAGGCACAAAGAGAGTCATTGTCTAACCTGGCGACCTCCATCAACAAAACAACGTCAAACTCAAAAACACCGCATATTATTATTATTATTATTATTATTATTTCCTTTAATTCCTAGAGGAACATAGGGCTTCAGCCATGCGTCTCCATTGCGTTCGGTTCTCTGCTGTAGTTTTCACCTGGCTCCAAGTCTGCCCACACGCTTTCAATTCCTCTTCACATGATCTCCTCCAGGTCACCCTTGGACGGCCAACTCGTCGCTTCCCTTTCGGGTTCCACTCGAGGGCTAGTCTAGTGATGTCACTTGCTGGTTTCCTCAGAGTGTGTCCAATCCATCTCCATTTCTTCCTGCCTATTTGTTTCACGATCGGTTCCTGGTTGGTTCGCTCCCAGAGATCTTTGTTGCTGATCCTCTCCGGCCATTTGATCTTGAGTATTGAGCGAAGGCATTTGTTAATGAAGGTCTGTAGCTTGTTTGAGCTGCTCTTTGTGACACGCCAAGTCTCTGATCCGTATAGTAGTACTGCCTTCACATTGGAGTTGAAAATACGGATCTTATTTTTGACGCTGAATGCTGTTGACCTCCACATAGACTTGAGAGAAATGAAAACTTGTCTTGCTTTTCCGATTCTGGCTTTGATATCCTCCTCAGTTCCTCCTGTAGTTGAGACGATGCTTCCCAGGTAGGTGAAAGAAGTTGTTTCCTTCAGGTTCCTCCCATTTATGCTGATTGTTGTCGGTTGTTGCTGTTGATGTTGGCCAGGAATCTTCATTACCTCTGTTTTGTCTATGTTCACTTGAAGTCCTATCTTTGCTGCTTCTTCTGCCAATTTGTTGCTTTTCACTTGCATATCTTCCAGTTTGTGGGAAATCAGACATATATCATCGGCGAAATCCAAATCCTCCAAGGTTTTTGTGTCGGTCCATTTTATGCCTGTTCCCTCGTTGGTTGCCGTTGTCTGTCGCATTATCCAATCAACTGCAATCAGGAAGATCATTGGTGACAGTAGACAGCCTTGTCTCACTCCCGTCCTCACTTCGAAGGATTCCGTGAGCCTCCCGTTGTGGATTACTTGGCATGCAGCGTTGTCATACAGCTGTTGGATGAGATGTATAATTGTCGGCGGCACCCCGTAGTAGCGAAGTAGTTGCCAAATCACCTCTCGATCGACGCTGTCGAAGGCCTTTTCAAAGTCGATGAAGTTGAGATAGAGAGGTGACTGCCATTCCAAACTTTGTTCAATGATAATCCGTAGGGTGGCGATTTGGTCAATGCATGACTTGTTCCTCCTGAATCCGGCCTGTTCCGGACGAAGTTTTTCATCTAGGGCTTGTTTAATTCTCTCCAGGATGATGCGACATAGTATCTTGCTTGGAATGGACAGAAGCATAATTCCACGCCAGTTTTTACATTGACTCAAATCTCCTTTCTTTGGCAGTTTGAATAAGTATCCGTTCTTCCAATCCTCGGGTACTTTGCCCTCTTTCCACACCTTCTCTAGTAGTGGCGTCATCAAGTCCGCTGTTGTCTCTGGGTCTATTTTCAAAGCTTCTGCTGGGATTCCATCTGGTCCTGGCGCTTTCCCAGCTTTTAGCATCTTGATGGCATTCAGGACTTCGGATTTCGTCGGAGGGTCGATGTTCATTGGTAGTTCTGCTTCCGTTGTTGGTATTGTTGGACGCGTTGTAGGTGGCGGACGATTTAGGAGTCTTTTGAAGTGTTCAGCCCAGTGCTTCCTCTGTTCCACCTCTTTGGTGATTGACTTTCCATTGTCGTCCTTTATTGGCTTAATCTGTGCCGAACTTTTGCCCGAAAGGTGCCTAGTTGTTTGGTATAGTGTAGCGAGGTCTCCTTTGCCTACAGCTTGTTCTGCTTCGTTTGCCATGGTTTCACAATATTTTCTTTTGTCTTCCCTGGCACTTTTCTTCACTCTTTTGTTCAGTGCATTGTAGCTTGCATTCAACTCCTGTTTCTGTTGCTCGTCGGTGCACTGGATAATCTTTTGTTTCGCCACTCTTCTCTCTTCTATTAGTTTCCAAGTGTCCGTAGAGAGCCACTGTTTGTCCTGTCTCTTTTTTCTGCCTAGGACTTCCATGCAGGTTTGACTCCACACCGTTTTCAATTTGTTCCAGTGCTTTTCGACGCTGACCTTTTCGTTGGTGTTGATTTGTGTCTCGGCTTTTTCCCTTATGCTTGCAATGAAGATGTCCTTTGTAGCCTGGTCCTTCAGCTTTTGAGTGTTGAACTTGGCTTGTGGTCTATCTGCAGCTCCTGTTTCCCTGAAAGCTTTTAGTTTGATTTGGATTGTCCCTTGTACGAGGTAGTGGTCTGAGCCAACGTCTGCTCCTCTTCTTGCTTTTGTGTCCAGTAGGCTGCGCCGCCACTTCCTCGAGATTGTGATGAAGTCAATTTGGTTTTTGGTTCGCCCATCTGGTGACACTCAAGTAGCCTTGTGGGTATCCTTGTGTTTGTATACGCTGCCACCAATCACTAGTTTATTGAAGGCGCAGAAGTCGGTGAAGAGTTCTCCATTTTCATTCATCTCTCCCAGAGCTTCTTTACCCATGATTAGTTCCCTTCCTGTGTTGTCTGGTCCAAGTTTGGCGTTCATGTCTCCCATTAGTATTTTAATGTC